TGACGCCGGGGCGGACCGTCTGCAGGCCCCGCGCCCCGCGGCGCCCTGTTGGGGTCGCGAGCACGCCACCACCGAGGCTGCGCAGACTGGAGCGGGCGGATGTGCGTTTAGGGGTGCCGGGGCAGGGTGGGCCGGGGGCGGGGTGTGGGTCTAGGGAGAGGCGGGGAATTTTTTTTTTTTTTTGTGGGTTTTTTCTTTTTTTTTTTCTTTTTTATTCTTTTTGTTGTTGTTGTTGTTTGCTGTGCCGTGAGGCCCTAGCAGTCATTCCTCTAATAGAAACGGACAGGACAGAAGACAGAACTATCGGATGAACACGCACAGAGCAGAAACAGAGCGCGATGGAGACAGCGAAAGACTTGTTTACCTCTGAGCAGCCACCCCCGAAAGAAATCCTGCGGTAACAAGTGCAGAGCGAAAGGAAACGAACGAAGGAACCCAGACCGGAACGAAAGCAAAGAAACTTCCAGACATTAAAACACAGTGTATAAAATGGTGTGAGAAACTCAGAGTCTCTTGGCAGCCTTCCGGTCAGTAGAAAGCTGCAGGTGAGTGTGTCCTCGTCTTGGAATCAGGCCCATCTTTTTGAAATTTTACCCTAAACACCTTGCAAGAAGTAACCGGAGGGTAAAAGCACCCAGCCTCCGTCCCGCGGGCGGCAGCGACGATGTCGAGGCTCGGTGGGCCCGGCCGGGCGCTGCTGCGTCACTCCTCGTTGGTGGAGTTGTCGTCCAGGGTGGGGAGGCCACCCACGCTCAGGCAGCCGGCGCTCTGCGTGGCCGAGGCCGTGAGCACTGTGTGCAGCAGCATCAGTACAAGGACACACAGCTTGAGTCTCCCACCGCACAGTCTCGTGGCAGAGGACACCGTGAGCGACGTCCTGTGACAGCTGTCACTTTTCTCTACCGTCCCTTTGGGCGGGTGGGTGGATCGCTCTTCTCTCCTGACGTCACAGCATTCTGGTTCATCATTGGTTAGGAAGGTTTCGTAGAGCCCTGTGGGGGAGAAAGAGAGGTCAAAGCGGTCAAAGAGGCAGGCGTGGCAGCCCAGGGGCGCCAAGCTTTGCAGTAACACCCTCACCCCCGAAATCATCACAGTTAAGCTGGATGTCAAGGACAAGCACGTCTGTGCAGTCTGGAGATGGGCAACCAAGGCCTCCAGCCAGCCAGGGAGGTTTGGTCTCGGTTGTGCTCCTACGCCAGGTACACACACCATCTTCCCTCTGGGCAGCTGTACACACAGAATAAGAGAGTTCACTAGTCCAAACCAGGGCTCGGGGTCCTGAGCCAACTTGGACAATAATGTTTCTTTAACAAGAGTGCAGTTGATTAATGCAGTAACTAGCACTAACTAGCGATCCTAAGTGAAATAGCCCATCTTAGCACCACAACTAGAAGGCCTTTGATTACTAATTGCACATCATCTTGTCTTGTATGCCCCGTCTTAGAAGGAGGACCTTTCATTCTATTCTGTAAGGATTTCCCTGCTGTCCCCTTCATCACGTTGTGAATGACTGCTTGGGCTGGCCTGTTTCTGAGCTGCTGCCGGAGTGTTTCAGGAGGACGCTTCCTCCCCATCGCCTCTCTTGCCAGTCCACTCCGAATACTCTTCAGTGCTCATCTTTCTCTCATTCATCCTCTTGTCCTCTTGCTTCCCCCCCAACCACCCATCCTTTCCCCTCCTTTCTCTCTTCTGTGAAAATACTTTTGCTCCTTATTTTGAAATAGAAAGGTGCATATTTTCAGATGTTCAAAGAAGCAAAAACCACAAAGCACTTGCTTATGTCTACCATTTCCAGTCTTGCTCCACTGCTTCTAACCCTTTGCTGTGCCCACGTAAGCCTTTGGGTCTTGTTTTTCCATCTGATTGAAACATTTCCTTCTGTGCGCTAAAATGCATTTCTCCAGAAATTTTGTCTTATAGCCTTGTACTTGAGAAACAGAAAGAATGACAGGAGTAAGGATTTCATGAAATTTTCTGAAAAAATCATGGCTTTGGCTAATAACAATAGTTACCAAGGGCATTCATGGCCTCCGTCCATCTCCTGTAATCTGAAGCTTTCCCCCTCTCTGGACCCTGCTCAACCTCCAGGTCTCGCTGGCCATGCCAGAGTGCTTACTGCAGCCCAGCCACTTTCCTTCTTCCAGCCTCCACCCTGTCTACCAAGAGCTGGGTTCTCCATCACGGAAGCTCAGGGAGCCTTTCTGGGTGAGGTCCTTGCATGAGGCTGCTAGTGTGGCTTGCCTGACTAGTCAACCACAGCAATTTTATTGCTTCTTTTTCGTGGGACATTTCACGCCAGTCTCCTTCCTGGGAGAGCACGAGCTACACATGGTCACGTCGCCCTCCCAGTGTGCGGCAGGATTCCTGATCAAACAGATGCGTTATGAGCGCTGAGTACATGGATTAACTCTGCAATCTACTTATTTAACTAACAGAGAATCTGTTCAGTAATGCACTCTTCAATCTTCCGTTTCTTTTAAAGAAATGACCAAGATATCCTTATAATGATGCTTACAATATTCATTTCTTCTTAGGCATTCAAAGGTAAACTTCACCTTCGCCTAGGAAGAATATGGAAAGAAAAACTGAATTAATGAGGTCTGCAGCGCTGACATTTCTATTGTACGATATTTTTTTTTGTCTTTGAGATACCTCACTAGTAGACTACTCATTCCTGAGCTCTATGTTCCCCAATATTATATTCTACAATGAAATGAATTTATCCTAAGATTATAAAAATAAGGTTCAAAAGGGCACTTAGATCAACATTTTACAGTGTTAACAGAATACTTCAAACAGTGTCTAAGTAAGATGCTCTTCCAAGGTTTTTCAGAAGCCAGCTTGTTAACTCACAGCTATTTTGGAAAGCAGAAAGGGGTTAACGATGCACGACACACAATCCTGCCTTTTGACTAGGACACTTGAATTTTTTTCTTTTCTTTCTCCTTCTCCATCTTTTCAACAGAAATTTTTATTCAGAGTTTTACATGCACATCTATTAAAGTTTAGATAGATTCACAGTTTTTTTCTTTTTACAAAAAAAGAAAAATCCTCTCCTTTCATCATTTCAAATGCTGTTTTTCTGGATGACAAGAATTTTTTCCCCCTTCTGTTCTAATTCTGAAAGCACCTAGCTGCTGCTTGCTTTTAAGCACCATCCACACACCTCCCTCACGGCAGGGTGGAGACGAAGCGGTTACTCTGTGCCCTGCAGCCACTACTGCTCTCTGCAGACCCCTCCCACCCTTGCACCCAGGCAGGTCGAGGCTCCACGCTCTGTGTGTCAGGAGGGCAGCAATGATGTCCTCATTTCCGCCATGCAGTGAAGCCCAGCTTTCCGCTCCTCTCTGCCTGCTCTGTAGGGCAGCCCTACTGTGCAGGCGGCTGTCCAGGTTCGGCGTGCACTGCCTGCTCACCCTCCTGGGGTGTCGGGCTCCCAGCCTGCCCACCCTTGCCCACCTCAAGGCTCAGGGGCTGCCTTGTGTTAGCTGCGAAGCTGCCTAGGGAACTGTTCAGCACCTTCCTTGTGGGACTTTTAAAATTAAATTTATTTTAAAGAGTACATAAAATCAAAACATACATATTTTGCGGTCTTGCCAGCTTAAATATATCTTCTTCCTCAAACACTTATCATTTCTGTATGATAACAATAATTCACAGCCTTTAAAATCCAGATTCCACTTACAAGAGGGACTGGCTGGTCATTGTCTGTGCTTGGTTTATTTCACTAAACATACTCATCTTCTGTTCCATCCACATCATGAAGATCTCATCCTTCTTCATGGCTGAGTAACATTCCGCAGTGTCAAGGAAGCATGTTTTGAGGAACTGCGCTTTCTTTGTCCATCTGCCAGCGGCTTCTGTGGTTGCTCCTTTCTCCTGGCTGCTATGAATGGCGCAGCAAGGCCAGCAGGAGTTCGGCGGTCCCTCCTCCTGCCATGCCACTTCCTTTGCACGCGTGCCCCATAGTGGGATCTCTGGGCCACAGGCGAGATGGTTCTGCTTTGATACATTTTTGTACCTGAGCCAACCCACATTTCCTCAGCAGCATACAAGGCGCCTTTCCACCTGGTGTCGCGTGCTGTATGGATCTTCACGACAGCAGCCACTCTGACCAGGCAGAGCTGATGTCTTGCAGCGGCTTGGCTCAGCATTTCTCTCTTTCTCAATGAATCGTTTTTGTTAGCCCACGCTTGCAGAACACAGCGACTCCGGCCGCTGTGAGGTCAGCGCGCATTTGGCACACCTCAAGTCCCGCTTTCCCCTGCTGCTTGCGGGCTCCCTCCAACTCTTCACCCCTGCCCGTCAAAGGGGTGCATGCTGGCCATCTCAGTTCTACCTCTGGCCTAGTTTCTAGGCTGCATTCTTGTATGAATGTATACCATTTTAGGGTTTCCACTTCAATTTCAATAGGACTTAGAGAAAAATAAGAAGTCAATTTTGGCTTCAGCCTTCTGGATTGAAGCTGAAAGTCACATCTGTGCTTAGGGGGGATGATTCACTCACTGCCAAAAGTGTATTTTAATGTCATCATGTAAATCTTAGGTTGCAGTAAGTTGACATTCTTATCTTTTTAAATTGCAGTAATCGTGGTTTCACATGATATAATTGCTGGCTTACTTATAAATATCCCACCAATTTCTTTTTTTTAAGCAACTACACTAGGGCTGGAGAGATAGCTCAGTGGCTTAAGCACCTTCCTGGCAAGGGCAAGGTCCAGTGTTCGATCCCCGCTACCGCATGCCGTGCCAGTTCTGGGAACCCCAGGCACACTGTGCCCATCATGGAATTGCATGTGGTGGCACATGCCTGTAATCCCAGCACTCACGAGGTTGAGACAGGAGGATCACTGCGAGTTCGAGACCAGCCTGGAGAGCACAGGCCCAGCCCAAACTGCGAGTGAGACCCTGTATCAAAATAAATAAATAAATAAATAAATAACCATACTAATAGTTGAATTGTGTTTACTTTTCCCTCCCCAAATTAAAAACTAATAAAGTAACCTGTAGGAAATTTGCTGACTTTTGAAGAATATTTTAACAAATGGACGGATAAAACTGGAAACCAAGAGTTCTAAGTAATACAGAAAAAAATTTCAAATTGTAGCAGTCGTTGCCAACAGCGGCAGACTTCTGCGTGTCTTGATCCATTCTGACAGGCGCAGGCTTGAGCGGTCGCGATGCTTCACGTTAGCGGGACGAAGTTCTTTCTCTCCTGGACGGCGTTGCCATGAGCGCAGTTTCCTCCTTTACGCTTGTGTTCTCAATTCCTAGCAGCAAGTTGTGCACAAAAGAAAAATAAGTATTTTTGTGAAACGGCAGCAGGATGCGGCTCCTTGCTCGCAGGGCCGCCGGCGACGAGCGAGGGTTCAGCCACCGCACGCTTCCACGCTGCCCATGAGGGAAGCCACACAGACGGGGTGGCCCTGGGCACTCGACTCCCACATCCTGGGTCCGCCCAACCAGGACTGGAATACTTGAGAGGGGCGCGTAGGTACTGGAAACGCAGGCTCCCCCATCCTCATTCGCTGCCCAGCCCTGCAGCGCTGCTCTTTGCAGAGCTGTTCCCGTCCCGGCCAGGTCAGCAGCAGGCGAGGGCGTCTTCACGTGTGCAGAAGGCGTGAGCACAGAGCCTGCCAATCCCAGCCTCTTGGGGTAGCAGACCTGAGCCCCCGTCGTCGACTCTATCTGCCCGGGCTCCCGGCTCCACCCCCGCGTGTAGAGGCCGGCAAAGCCTGGGGAGAAGCTGGCCCGCACTCCTCAGAGGGCCTCAAGGCGAAGGCCACTCAGGCCGACCGGACCGCATGGCAGAGAGGGCGAAGTGTGGGACAGAGACTGGAAACTGTTCCTCAGCGAGACTCAGAAGAAATGCTTGCGGGGAAGGCAGAGCAAGCGCTGCACGGAGAAGCTACAGGTTCCCTACGGCCACACGCGGACTAGGGATGCACTGGGCGTCCACAGGGTCCTGAGGCTGAGCAGAGCATTTCCAGCGC